GGCGCTGACATACCCACGTCATGCTCAAAAGCACTGAGGGCCATGGGGGCCAGGGTGCAGGCTGCCTCGGCCTCCAGGAGCTGGGGGCAGACCCTGCAGTGCGAGTCCTCCCCCAGCCTCCTGGGTTGCGAGCATGCTGGACAGAGGAGCAAGGGGGCCCTTTCAGGGCAGGGAGGTGCCTTCCCACCCTGCCCTTCTTCCCGCAATGCTGTGGGGAGGGCAAAGGACCGAGGGGCTGCCGGGAGGTGCCTTGGCAGCACTTGCAGCACATTGTGGGGGGTCACCTTGGAAAGTGAGAAAAGGCCGTCCATCCATTTCGGGGGCAGGATGCAGTGTTTGGTGGGGAAAGCCCCAGGCCGGGCTCCCTACCGTAGGTTCCTACTAGAGCTTTCAGGGCATTACTGACCCCGAGCTCCGGAGTCCCCATCTCGGTGAGGGGCCACCCCAGGGGCAAAGCCAGTTGAGGCCACGACAGGACCCCCGTGGGCCAGCGAGGACCCAATGAGTCCAGGCCCGGCTCCCACCACAGCTGCACCTGCAGCTGCCCCAGTGTGGCAGTCCCAACCCTTCTGAGCCCACCCTGTCATGCCACGTCTGTCTTAGCTGTGCAGGTGAGTGGAGCCCAAACACAGGGCAGGTGGAGCATCTTGGGGTTGACAGGTGAGGTACCGAATTCCAGCCACAAAAGAAGAGAAGCTGGGGAAGGTGGGGGGGTCCACAGACCTGGGGTGTGTCCGGCAGACAGAAGAGAGCAACGGGGAAAAGGCCCATATTCTGCACCCTGCCCAGCACGGGCAGGACCCACGAGGGGCCACCCATGAGGAAGAGGGTCCCAGGGTGCTGGGCAGACAGGGGGCCGCAGGCAGGCCTTGCAGGAGGTCCCTGGGGCCAGGGGGGCCCATCCCGATGGGTGAGCGCCAGAGGACCCCAGCCTCGATGTCAGGGTGACTCAGGACATGTGAGCCCAGGTGTGGGCGGTGCGTCCCGGCAGTGCTGGAACCACACCGGACTCTCCTGGCAGTGAGCTCAAAGGCAGCAGGTTACAGTGTGGTGTCAGGTGGCAGAGAGAAGAGGGAAGACACCTGAGACAGGGGTGGTGAGCAGAGAGGGAGAGACAGAGACAGAGGGAGAGACAGACAGAGAGACAGAGGGGGTGGGGGTGGGGAGAGAGCATGCTCCCTCATACATCAGTGAGAAAAAAACCACAGCTGCCCTGTGGTCTCCACCTGTGCAGAATCACTTCACTCTGAGATTCAGATGAAAGTCATGAACCAGTTTTCTAAAACTGCAGGTAGATGCATAACACAGCATTCTACACACAACTTTAGGGGGAATTCACAAGCACCCAAGCTGCCCAGGCACCCTACCAAGTCCCCTTGACCCCAGGTAAGAAGGTACCTGGGTGGTTTGTCTCCTGTATATGTTGTAGCAAATTCCCACAAACTTACTGTGGCTTAAAAACAACACAAGTTTATCATCGCCTGGTTCTCGAGTGTCAGCGGGGCTGGTTCCCTCTGGAGGCCCTTCCTCTACCTCCACGGCCAGCACCGACTGTCGAGTCCCCACACTGCATCTCTCTGGCTCTCTTTCTTCTGCCTCGTCTTCCTTACAAGGATTCTTTTAAGAACCCCTGTGATGACATTAGGCCCACCAGAATAATCTCCCCATCTCATTAGCAACCTTAGTTCCATCTGTGGCTTTAACTCCCCTTTGCCATGTAAGGTAACATATTCACAGGCTCCAGGGATTCGGATGAGGACATCTTTGGAAGTCACTAGTCTGCCGTCCACAGTGGGTGAAGATGACAGACAGGATATGGACCACATACGTGGAAACATGGCCCAGACATCAGGGAGTTGAATGCTAATTGTTCCTCCAACACTTGAGTTGTTTTCTCAGTGCTGACAGGAGGCAGAAAGCAAGGCGAAAGGTCACTTGGTGCACCATCCCTGTCCCTGTCCCCGGACCCCTCCACCCCAGGGCCTTTGCACAGCCTGTTTTCTCCTCCCACATACCAGCTCCTGACTTCCTCAAGGGCTGGCTCAAACCCCACCTCGAACACCATGGTTAAAACTGCAGTTCAGCCACCCCCACCTGCCCACATTCTGCACCCCAGACCCGTCTCTGCCCTTCCTTTCCCTCTGGACTAGTCGCCACCTCAGTGTGATTCAGCATCCGTGGGTTTACATACTGACAGTCGCCCAGATCCCCCCAGGGCAGGGTCCTGGTGCTGGAGCTGGAGGGAAAGCCCTGCAGGTACATCTGACTCAAGGCCCCTTTCTTGCCCAGCAAAGAGGAGGCTCACAGAGACGGGGCGCGTGTCAGGCCAGCCAGTCTGGCCTGGGACATCCAGCAGGGCCCTCGCCTGGGGCCAACTGGCCACCAGAGGCCGGGACAGGGACACCTACATGCAGCAGTCTTGAGGTTCCCCTGGGTCCCAGTGGGTCACACGAGCGGGTGTGGGTCATGGCCAGCCCCTGGTGGCACATGGCCCCTACACCTGTGGTCCATCCTACCCCAGCTCCTCCGGACAGGTACCGTGGTGCTGGAAATGAGGTCTGGGGCACGATGAGCAGCCCCCAGCTGGAGGCGGCAGGGTCAGCCTGACTCCGCAGGCAGTCGGGACGGGGGGAGAGGTGAGTGGCCCCCTTGTGTGGGGGTGCAGGGGCCTGAGCCCTCAGGGAGCCCAGACGAGCAGGAGGAGAGGGCCAGGGCCGGGGTCCCACGTATGTCTGTGGGACAGCACGGGACAGAGAGGAGAAAGCACCCTCGGCACAGGGCAGTCGTCAGGAAGCAGAAGAGCTGCCCACAGATGCCACGACAGCCGAATGGCTCAGAAAGTGTTTCCTGATCTTGATGTCGTTGGACGGGCCTGAACGAGCATGTCCAATGCTGCAGAGGCCAAGAGAATAAGGACACCCCTTAGGGCTTTGCCAGGAGGAGGTGTTTCCCGGCGGCTCCAGGGCCTTGGCCAGCCTGTGCAGGTCGCTCAGGATGGGAGGGAGTGGGCACAGAGGGCACGGGTGTGGAGCACAGCTTAGCAGGAAGAAGGTGGGACCTGAGCACACTGGCCGGGACTCAGGGTTCCTACACGCCTCCCCTACGACCTCTGGATGGAGCCACAGAGGAGGGCCGGCAGCTCCATCCACAGAGTGGCCGGGGCTGCCCGGAGCCAAGACAGAGGCACTGGGCCGAGACCGCACGGCAGAGCTGCCAGTCAGCCAGAAGGACCCTCCGGAGACCCTCCGAGTGCCTGGCATGGCCCCTCAGGGCTCCACGGTGTGTCAGAGAGTGGGCTGGGGCATGTAGGGGCCTCAGATCCCAAAGGGGGCTCTAGGCAGCAGGAAGGCACGGGTCGGAGGGAGGTAGGGGCTCTGTGCCCCCTCAGAAATGGCGAACTTTCCAGCTCCTCCCCAACACCCAGTAGCCCTGGGCTGCTGCCGGTGCTCTGCTCGGCCAAGGAGAGGGAGCTCTGCGTGCCGGCACCAGGCCCCCACCTGCAGGACCGGACTCTCAGCGCCAGACCCCACCCTCTCCTCACCATGTCCGACAAGCCCTGCTCTTCCTCCAGACTCTCACCAAGAGACCTCCACCCACAGGCGCTTCCTACAAAGCTTCAGCCTCACATGGAGGGAATGCTGCTGTCCACCGGACATCAGCACGTGGGGTCAAGGTCCCAGATCCTCCTGGGGCAAATCCCCGCGTCCCTGTACCGACATGAGGAGGGACACCAGCCCCGAAACCCGACAATCTGGTTCTGCAGCACCCGCGTGCCCAACCAGCCCAGAAAACCCAAAGCACAAACCCAGGAACGGGTCAGCTCCTCCCCCACCGTGGGCCTGGCACGTCTGCTGCTGTCACAGGCATCCTTTTAGCATAAAGCATCACAGTCATTAGCCACAGGAGGACCTGTGCCTGTCACCAACCCTGTTGCTTCAGGTCATCACCCTGCTTCTTGTTGTGCAGGTATTGAGCACCTGCTTCTTGTTGTGACCTGCAGGAGCCCACAGACCTGAGCCAGGGCACACCTGAAGCAGGGCATGCCAGATTTGGTGCACACCTGAGCTGGTACATGCCTGAGCCAGGGCACACCTGAGCCAGCACACAGCCCCTCCCCATGGTGTGCCTGAGTTTTCGGTGCAGTTGGCTCGGTGTTCACTGACCGGTGTCAGCCTCTCCCAGGTCTGTTCATCTCAGCAACTGCTTGGGAGGAATCGCAGGCTCAGGTCTGATTACCCAAGTGACGCCTGTACTGGGATGAACAGTGTCTCCCAAAATTCCTATCTATCCAGGACCTGTGAATGCGAACTTATTTGGAAACGGGGTCTTTGCAGGTGTGATTAAGATGAGGTCTTACTGGATCACAGTGGATCTCGATCCAGTGATTGGTGGACGTGAGAGAGAGGAGAGAAATGTGGACAGAGACTCAGAGGGAAGAAGACCAAAGGACAGCAGAGACTGTGATGTGTCCACAGGCCGAGCACCAAGGACTGTTGGCAACACCAAAACCTGGAAGAGACAAGGAAGGGTCTCCACCTGGAGCTTTTGGAGGGAGCGTGGCCCTTGATTTTGGACTTCTGGTCTCCAGAACCATGAGAGAATAAGTGTCTGTTGTTTAAGCTCCTGGGTTGTGGTCATTTGTTCCGGCAGCTGCAGGACACTGACTCATCCTTGAGGATATGGGGCCCAGATCAGGCCCTGGGTATCTAGACACTTGCCCTGGGCTCGGGCATTTGGGGGAAGCTGAGGTCGAAGGGCAAGATCTGGGTTAACAGGAAAGAGGAGGTCAGATGCTGAAGGGGATGGGGGTGGTCCACCAGGAACACGGGGGATACATCTGGTAGAGGCTGAGCGTGGGGGTAACAGCCTCACTTATAGTTGGGCCCAGTGTGAAAGGTCCCTAACGCCAGGGCCATGGGGCTCCCTTGGAGAAGCCCTGACGTGGGCCCCTAGGTAAGTGCCACACACCACTGACCAGGGCCGAAGACAGACACGCCATTGATCCGTCAGAGGCTGGTCTTTATTCCCTGGAATGGAAATAGCCTGCAGCCCCAAAATGACCATGGCTGGCAAAGTTCATTCTTTAAAAAGCAAAAACAAAATGAAAAAACCATAGGTATTTGGCTCCATAAATTTCCATCATAAGAAACAACTTTGAATGGTACCCAAGCCTGGTGTTGGGTTATCGGCTGTGGGCCACAGGCCCCACACTTCACCCAACACACCAGCCAAATGCAGTGACTGCAGATGCTCAGAAAACAGTACGAAACGGCACACGAAGGCATTTTACGACACGGGAGTTTGCTTCCTATGAACATTTCTTTTTTAAAAAAAATATAATAACTTAGTTGGCATGTTACAGCATCTCCAGTCAATCCATCAGGGAGTCCTCGGCCAGAACCAGCGTGTACCTCCCCAGTCAGAGCGCCAGGCACCCACCCCAGTGTGTGTATCCATCGCTGCGGCAGCGGTCACCCAGCAGTCAGTCACTCTGTGCCTATCTCACAGGGGTTCAGCCCCCTCTCCTCAGCGTCCCTGTACATCCTTTGGAAATCCTTGAAGCGCGGGGCGCAGCCGAGCCAGGCCTCCCCAAAGTGCATGTGGCCGGTGAAGAGAAACTCACCGCGCCCAGGCCGGACACCGCACTCCAGCAGCGTGGAGACGCGCCCCCGCCAGCCGCCACCCTCGCCCTCTGGGGCCGGCCGGAAGACCCTGCTCTTCTGCCGGTAGAGCCGGCTCACGTTCAGGTGGATGGCTGACTCTTGCTGCGCCGGCTCATGGGTGACATCCTGGATGGAGCCTCGGACGACTGCAGAGGAAGGAGACGGGGGGAGGGTCAGTGGTCAGCGGGGTGCTCACCAAGCAAACAGCATGCACCAACCTCCCACCCCCAGCAGCAGAACCGGGAGCTGACCGTGAACTCTGCCTTCCAGAAATTTTCATTAAAAACCACAATCCACACACAAGATGTTGCCTAGGGGTCGTCCCTGCCACTCACACCGTCGTGGGCAGAGATGCTCTTCTACCAAGGGCCAGCCACAGAAGTGGAGAGAAATAAAAGATATGAATCACGTTGTGCACCAAGTTTTCAAGTTAAAACAAGAAAAGTCACTGCAGTTAATACTCAAGATCTGCCGCGGTTCCATATCAAGATCAGACAGAAACGGTGAAGCTTACAGGGGAGGAAGGTGATGGGAAGGAGAAGGGCGGAGCAGGCACAAGTTCGGAGACACCGCCCGGCACCAGATCCCCTCTGTGCAGGGCCAGCGAGAAGAAAGGGCTGTACTTCCACCACCCAACTGCCCTGGGAGCCTGGGGGGCTCAGAGCCAGGTCCCGCTGGGCCGGCTCCATCGAACTCACCCTGAATGCTGCCACCCTTAACTCTAGAGCGTTTGTGCCAACATCACAAGCAGGCGGCTGAGTCCCTGATCCCGACCCTGGCCCCACCAGGGCCTCCAACGCCTGCTGTGGTGCCTGCAGGGGACCTGGAGGCAGGAGGGGCACTGAGGAGAGGCTAGAGCCAGGACTTAGACTCACACGCCAAGTAGGAAAATGCTCAGTATCACCTCGAATAGGAATTCCCACCTTAAATAGGAATTCCCAGCTCTCTCCCCGCCCTGCACACAGGTCCCTTCTCGGGCTCGGGTCACTCTAAGGAGCGAAAGGAAGGCCTTTTCCCGTGACTGCAATCATTGATGGAAGGGGAGCCAAGCCCAGGGTCTTCAGCAGTCTCCTCCCCCCAGAGGGTTTAGTTCCCCCACGTGGCGGGAACCGCCAGCACACTCACCAAAGTCACTGGTACAGACAGCCAAGAGCACCTCAGTGTGGCTGCAAGGGCGGCACGGGGCTGTGGGGAGAGAACAGGGTCAGGCGGGGTCAGTGCATGAACATGGGACCCTCCCGCCCATGGCATGTAGACCACACGACATCTTGTAAGTCCTCTGACGTCGGGAGCAACTGTCCAGGCCCCGCACCTCTGAAACCAGGGTGCCAAGAGCAGGCGGGGCCTCGACCTCGGCTGCACAGATGGGGAAAGGTCTCCAGGGACCCCAGGCTCACCTGGGCCACCTGCAATGGCGTGAAAACGGAGGGAAAGTGCGGTTTTGCGTTCGATCACACTTAGCTCGTTACTGTAGTCGTGCCGGGCAAACAACCCCTGGGCTCATGTGTAAATTGCTCTTCGGCGCCAAAACCAACCCGAGCTGATCTGACGCCACGTCCCTGACACCAGCCTGTCCGAGAGCCTCACTCAGCCTCTCTGGCCAGGCCCCCAAATGCCAGGGCCTCCCACTCACACTGCCTGCCCCCACGGTCCCATCTGCCACCAGGATTCCACAGGGGGTCAAGGCACTGCCCAGAAGGACCAGGTGACCCCGCTAAAGGCATGAGGGGCACGTCCACCTGCTTCAGCTGTGGGGTCCTCGTCTAACCAACAGGACAAGGTGGTCACCTCCAAACACCTCCTGACACCTTTCACAGCAAGCCCAGTTCACAGGATCCCCTCTGAGACTCCCCAGACCTGGGCGGGGGCTGATTACTCCAGACAAACCAGTCCTTCTTGGTGGACCTCTGCCCCCAGGTACAGCTCTCACCCCACCCTTCACCTACTGCCTCAGACTGGCGTAAGGCCTCCAGAAGGGCTGGGCGGATACAGAAACCTTACGGCTCTGGGGACTCCCCAGGACCGTGGCACTCCTAACTCAGCGGTGGATTTGGGGAGACACAAGTTTATTATTTGGCTCTGATGTTGCAAGTTTCCTCACCTATTTCTAGTTTCTAGGGTTGGGCCCAAATTCCCTAACAACAGAAATGTTAGGCGTGAACTCTCACTAGGACAAGTTGCCCTCTGCCTTTTCATGTTCTGAAGGCCCTGCAAAGTCCCCAGGATTGGCACTCACTGGGCCTAGATGAAGGTACAACTGTCAGCACACCTGGCCAGCTGCCCTCGAAGCCCTTGAAACGGCCTGAGTTGTCACCTGCCCAGGGGCTGCAGTGACTCGGGGGCCCTCGAGGAGACAGGGAGATGCACAGGGAACAGGAGGGTCCTCCGGGACCTGGAATATGTGTGGGGGCAACACAGACCCTGGAGTCTCTGGTGTCCTGGGACCCCTTGGGGATGGACGTGAGCATCCGGAGCACCAGCCCTCCCGTCCTGCCCCCAGGCGGGGGTAGATGTGCATGTCCCAGTCTAGTCCAGCGAGTGCATGACTCACAGGCGCTTCTGTTAAGTTATCAGGAAAAAGGAGAAGCCGCAGAACAAGAACAGCCTGTCGGATGCCTCTGGAGCATCTGAGAGCACGGAGCACCTCCCTCCCCAGCTCCAAATCCGGAGCCTTCTGCCCACCTGTGGCTTTTTGTCACGAGTGTGGACCCCCAGCCCTCAAGGCCTTTCTTAAAAAAGAGGGTGGCCAACTGGGGGTCCCCCACCTCTAACCCGCTGGGGGCCTGCTGCCCACACTGGGCCTGACAGAGACCCCAGAGTGAGGAAAAGGGGGAACACAGACCTACAGACATCGGGGAGGCTCACATCCCACAAGAGGCGGCGTTTTATTCAGGCCTGTGTGCGGAGGGGCCCGCGGCAGTGGGGAGACTTCCCGTCCTGGCGGCTCCCCCAGTGCCCACCGGGTCAGAGGCCCCCTCCCGGGGCCTCGGAACCAGGCCATGCGAACTCCAAGCGCGGGTGAACGGGAGGCAAGGTCCACACAAGCTCTTTAGAAGCTGAGACAGGCCCAGGCCACAATCCGTGGTCGAAACCCAGGCCTGGGTGCGTATGATCACCAAGCCCTGGAGCCTCGAGCTCTCTGTGGGTTGTAGGCCCCGGGACCTCAGCTGACTGCTGGGGAGAAAGGTGGCGTGAGCTTGTCCTGGGCTCCCTGTCCTGACTCGCGCCCAGTCCCACGCAGGATGTATGAGGACCCCAGTGGGCCTGGGGGGCAGGTAGTCAGCAGCCTGCTGACCCTCCCACCCAAAGCTTCAGCGAGCCGGTGCCATTGACAGCTGAGCTAACAAAGCCCCCCGCAAGACACTCTTATGACTCAGAGCTTTATGAAGTGTAGGCACCTTTGTGGAGAATCCAGGCCGTGGACGCCAAGAGAAGCAATCTGGAAACAATTATTAATTGGAGTTAGGCTCGTGAAGGCTGAGTGGAATGCGCTGGTTTCTGACACATCGAACCTTGTTTCCTTGTGGGGAAGATGGGGAGGGGGCAGCCCAGGGGCTGGGTGGAATTCTGGCCTGTGGTTCTTGGACAGGGGGCGGCTGGGATGTGGGCGTCGGGACGATTACTCTGGAATATGCATAAAATGAACTGAATGAAGTAGAGAAAAACAGGGTCAGGGAGACCAGCCGGGGGCTGCAGCAGGGATGCAGGTGAGAGCGCCAGGTACAGGTGGGGACAGTGGCACCCCTCTGTCAGGCCCTGGGTAGCCCGATGCCCAGGAGAAGTTTGTAGGTGGTGGGATGCTGGTCTGGCGGGTGAGACTGCCCAGGTAAGGATGACTGGGGTGGACACGATGTGCGAGACACCCTCTGGGGTCTTCAGTGCAGCCGCGACAGGTGGTGAATGAAGCATTTTAACAGGGAGGGGAGGAAAGGGAGCAACGCTGCCAGAATGTGAGCGGTATTCGCTGAGCGGAGAGCCTCCTCTGATCATCGTGACAACCCTGCACTCGCCTCAACTCCAGGCCACAGGCTGACATCGCTCCAGAGGACCCTGTGGGACCTGGCCGGGGCTGGTCGCCACCTGCGAAACCCCATCTCCCACGTGCGGGCACAGGGAACGCTTAGCCTCACCAGCTATCTCGCCCACACCCACTCCCTTCCCTCCCTCTTCCTGGTGAGGAAGCCAGAGGAGTCACACCTTCCACCCCCAGAGTCCAGAGCTGGGTAAGATGAAAAGTAATTTTACAGGGCTTCCCTGGTGGCGCAGTGCTTGAGAGTCCGCCTGCCGATGCAGGAGACGCGGGTTCGTGCCCCGTTTCGGGAAGATCCCACATGCCGCGGAGCGGCTGGGCCCGTGAGCCATGGCCACTGAGCCTGCGCGTCCGGAGCCTGTGCTCCGCAAATGGGAGAGGCCACAACAGTGAGAGGCCCGCATAACGCAAGGAAAAAAAAAACAAAAA